TCTTGGAATATGTTCAGAAAACCGGATAGAAGCCCTTCTTTCTGTCCTTCCAATGTACTTGCTCCCGCAAGTGCACGTAAATTCATAAACGCAGTTGGAGGTGACATCAGCAGGGTATTTATCCAGTTTTGAGTGGATCATGGAAGGAGTGGTGTTGTATACTGTTATGAGTTTTGCTGCCGGGAAGCTTCTATTTATTGCTCCTTTCAGTCTTCTGTCAATCTTTTGTGAAACTGCATCTCCTTTGAATGGGAGACAAATAAACACTTTTTTCTTTTCTACAGTTGGATGCTTTTCTTTCTTATCTTTTTCTCTGCTATACTTCTGTATAAATCCTTTAGGGTATCCGTTTTCCCTCAGGCATTTCTCGACGAAATCTAGTTCTTCTTCGACCTTGTTTGGTGAACATAGCTTCCTGGCTCTGTCGTACAAAGTCCTCACTAATCCACGTTTATAGCTTATGGGACAAAAGCTGTTATAGTGAAGATATTGTCCAGTCCAGGTTTCTTTTCTATAGATGGACTTTTCAATCATGCCTTCGTTTGTTCTTTTTACATTTAGATCCAGGAAATTGAACTCATTTTTATGTTCATATTCCATGGTGAACTTGATATTTGGATGAATCTCATTTAGACGATCATATAATGCCGATGCGTGATCCATGTCGTTGCAAACAACAAATGTGTCATCAACATATCGGCGATAGTAGGTTGTTCCATTGATAGCAGAACTTAGTTGTGTCTGTTCAAGGTAGCCCATGAAGATATCAGCCAGGATAGGTCCCAGAGGTGAACCCATAGCGACCCCATCAATTTGTCGGTAGAGTTGATTGTTGAATTTGAATTGTATATCTTTTGTGCAGAGCAGCAGTAGTCGCTTCATCTCTGTTTCCGGTAACGGTAGTAGATCCGTTTGTTTACAAATGATATCAATCGTTTCCATCAGTGGTACGTTTGTGAACAAGGAGGTCACGTCATACGATACCATGAGTTTGTCTGATATGTCAATGTTGTCAACTTCCTTGGAGAATTGGTAGCTATCCTTCAGGCTATGGGTTGCAAATTTAATTCGAATTGGCTCTATGGAATCAGCTAACCATCGAGCTAACTTGTGGCATGGTGAGTCAATCATTGACAAGATTGGTCTTAAAGGCACGTTTGCTTTATGGATTTTTGGTAGGCCGTACATAGACGGCAGGCGTCCACCTTTTGACTTCAGTTTATTGTATGTTTCGCTGTTGATTAGTTTCTTCATTAGAAGTTCTTTGAGACATTTATTTACTCTAGTTTCAAACGACGTTGTGGCATCTCTTTTGTTGTCTACTTGGAATTTTTCTTTGTCGTTTAGAATTGTCATCATTTTATGAATATAATCAGCTTTGTCCATTATAACAACCCCAGAGCCTTTATCAGGTCTAAATATGAGAACGATGAAATCCTCATATTCATAATGAACAAAGCTGATTATATTCATAAAATGATGACAATTCTAAACGACAAAGAAAAATTCCAAGTAGACAACAAAAGAGATGCCACAACGTCGTTTGAAACTAGAGTAAATAAATGTCTCAAAGAACTTCTAATGAAGAAACTAATCAACAGCGAAACATACAATAAACTGAAGTCAAAAGGTGGACGCCTGCCGTCTATGTACGGCCTACCAAAAATCCATAAAGCAAACGTGCCTTTAAGACCAATCTTGTCAATGATTGACTCACCATGCCACAAGTTAGCTCGATGGTTAGCTCATTCCATAGAGCCAATTCGAATTAAATTTGCAACCCATAGCCTGAAGGATAGCTACCAATTCTCCAAGGAAGTTGACAACATTGACATATCAGACAAACTCATGGTATCGTATGACGTGACCTCCTTGTTCACAAACGTACCACTGATGGAAACGATTGATATCATTTGTAAACAAACGGATCTACTACTGTTACCGGAAACAGAGATGAAGCGACTACTGCTGCTCTGCACAAAAGATATACAATTCAAATTCAACAATCAACTCTACCTACAAATTGATGGGGTCTCTATGGGTTCACCTCTGGGACCTATCCTGGCTGATATCTTCATGGGCTACCTTGAACAGACACAACTAAGTTCTGCTATCAATGGAACAACCTACTATCGCCGATATGTTGATGACACATTTGTTGTTTGCAACGACATGGATCACGCATCGGCATTATATGATCGTCTAAATGAGATTCACCCAAATATCAAGTTCACCATGGAATATGAACATAAAAATGAGTTCAATTTCCTGGATCTAAATGTAAAAAGAACAAACGAAGGCATGATTGAAAAGTCCATCTATAGAAAAGAAACCTGGACTGGACAATATCTTCACTATAACAGCTTTTGTCCCATAAGCTATAAACGTGGATTAGTGAGGACTTTGTACGACAGAGCCAGGAAGCTATGTTCACCAAACAAGGTCGAAGAAGAACTAGATTTCGTCGAGAAATGCCTGAGGGAAAACGGACACCCTAAAGGATTTATACAGAAGTATAGCAGAGAAAAAGATAAGAAAGAAAAGCATCCAACTGTAGAAAAGAAAAAAGTGTTTATTTGTCTCCCATTCAAAGGAGATGCAGTTTCACAAAAGATTGACAGAAGACTGAAAGGAGCAATAAATAGAAGCTTCCCGGCAGCAAAGCTCATAACAGTATACAACACCACTCCTTCCATGATCCACTCAAAACTGGATAAATACCCTGCTGATGTCACCTCCAACTGCGTTTATGAATTTACGTGCACTTGCGGGAGCAAGTACATTGGAAGGACAGAAAGAAGGGCTTCTATCCGGTTTTCTGAACATATTCCAAGAAACCTATGCCTGAAAGGAAGCAAATATTCTCAGAGTGCAATTACCAGACATATTGTTGATACCGGACATCTCGTAGAGATTTCTAAGTCCTTCAAAATATTAAATAGACAAAGGACAGCAAATTTACTACGATTTGCCGAAGCGATCGCAATCAAACGATTTAAACCAGACTTATGCATACAGAAAGAGAGTGTGATTAACCTCTCACTCCCTTGGTAACTGAAGTTTGATTTTGATTAGTCATCTAATTCAGTGATCTCAACTCACTGAGCAAATCTCAATCTTATAAACTGTAAATGCTTTTGTTTTTTGGAGTTGCCATGTGAACCTACAGACTAACACTGTTTCTGTTAATCAATTTTCCTGTTTTCTGTCTTACCCCTACCCCCTCTTTTCAACTCTGAAAGTGTATAAATTGATAATGATAACTTAAACTAAAAATTGTAATGCTTTCATTCTTTTTTGGATGCGTCAATTTTATCTTTTCTCTACTACTAATCAAACATTAAAGTATGTTATTATCATTTATATAACCATTGTAATTTCAGGTAGTCTGCAGCTGATGAGAACCTGTGAAATAGAATGATATCATTTTATACTGCAAATTTCGTCTTCATTTCTTTGTCGAAATTTATCAAGGGAACCAGTGTTATGAATTTATTATTTCAGTTACCACATGTCACGCTTGACTGGTAGGAGTCGGTTAGCACTAACACAAAAGATTAGACACAAAGCACTGATTTCACCTTAGTGACTAGACAGTACAAACTGACATCAGTCTTTATTTGAATATGTTTATATATATATATATATATATATAAGTATAGAAATTCATCTGATACGGTAATATATTTTCAAGTTAAATAACGAACTGACTTCAGTTAGAGCCACTAAAAACCAGGGAGTCGTAATTAGGTACTCCGCAGCAGTAAGTACTCATGGTCCCATTACCATGGATCGTAGCCAGCATCTTCAGGTGGTGAGGTGAACCTGTTCACCTAGCAGACATTTTGAGAGTATCCAGTGGCTCATTAGTTCTAAATTTTGCGCTTCTCTTTGCGCATATTGGACACACGAAACTGTCTTTCTGACACTAGTGACTCATACAAAAGATGACATATTTGGTATTTTCTGTATACCCGTCATTTTAGAGACTTCAATGTTTTTAGTGAATCCATGATGATGTTCTGTAAGCCAGCAGACGGTTTGTGCTGAAATCATACTTCGAATGTGTATTGGAATCACCATATCTAGTATTCTTCGGTCAGTTGACTTCAACTCCAATCATTTAAATTAGCTTCCCAAATCCTTAGCGACATTACAATATGTGCTGAGTTTCGTTTTCTGTTTACAAGTGTACAATTCCTACAGTTACACCACATTCATAATAGTTACTTTATTAAGATTTTGTCTTGAACATTCTTTGAAATCTACCTCATTCACTAGTCATAAGCGTAGGTGGCACAGTGGTTAGGATGCTCGCCGACCATGCAAATGGTCCAAGGTTCGATCCCCGACCGACGCACACCCGATATCAATGGTCAGACTGCTAAATTTGGGCTACCGATATCACATGCTGAAAATTCCATACTTGTACCAAAATACTGTGTGGAATGAAGCTATAATAACATTAATTCAAACATAAATTTCAGTCTGTTGTACAAATATATATATATATATATATATATATTGACAGATCTCCCGAAATCGATAAATGCATTAACATCTATTCATTAGAATCACATGTTAACCAGACTACATCATCAGAACAAAGCGAGTCTACTGAAAGAGTTGAAATAATAGCAAACCTTCGCAGATCTTTCTGTAATGCTAACTTGCTTTTCTATTGAACGCTAGCTACCGAATGCCAAGAGACACCAAATCAGCGTATCCACACCACTTCTTGACAATCTAATTCAGCTGTATCTGTCTACTAGCCAAGCACTACACTCTGTATAACTTTTGAGTTCAAATAAATCTGTTAAGGTGATTCTCAGCCTCCTGAAACAAGGCTATTCCATTCATCTACACGACATGGTGAGGCGGTGAACTTGTAGAATTTATAGCAGTGTAGTTTGAAACAAGATTTTTACAGAGAATCTATACGCTTCCTTTTTTCCATGTATCTATCTATCTATCTATCCATTGTTGTTTTTTATCTGCCCAGAGGGATCAACAAAAGTCTACTTGAAAAAAATGTGCGGTAATTTTTAATCTCACTTTGACAAATTTGCTCATATACAGTAGTAGTAGTAGTAGTACAGTGATTGTTAAATAGGAGAATGTAAATAAAAGATTCTGTTATAAACAAATATGCTCGTGCAAAGTGGATGACAGATGGCAATGAAACTATATATAATTAATCCATTAAAGTATTTTTAAGGAAGTAAGCAAAAGTATGCAGTCATTAACACACACACACAAAATAACGAGAAAGGTGATTTTACAGGATAAAAATAATCAGCCCTCAAAATGAACGTTTTTTATCCAATCTGTTCATGACTAAGATGTTCGCTTAAATGTTGCCTTTTCCTTTTTTGCATGATAGTTTGAAAACAATTAGACATTTGTCCTCTTTTATCAGCATCAATAATGATTGGTGAATATATGTTGAATAAACAAACACCAAACAAAATGGATAGAAAGCACAGAATGTATAAATAATGAAAACTATAATGGAAAATATAAACACCCATTAATACTGCATAGATATCTGCCGTAAGCAGAGATAAGTTAACTAGGACAGCAGATGAACGTGCCAAGACTACAGGCATAAGTGAATAAAGTAAAAACATTGATAATGCATAACCAACAAAACAAGCAATAATTTCATTTAAATTTGCATAAGTGATAGTAGCCAGTACACTGCTAACAGCTAGTTGTTCAAATATAACTGTATAAATCAATGTTATGACAGATGCTACTACACCGACACAACAAAGAAATTCAATAATACCATACTTAACAATTAGGTAGTGTTGCAAAACATTTGACACAGCATACGCAACAGCGCCGATAATGACTAGAAAATCACCAAAAACCATTTGTTGTGGAGTAAACAATTGATTAATCATAGTATTGTTCAATAGACTGTCATGTGTTCCATTTGCATTAACATTATCAGTGCTAGAAGATGGTATGAAGTAATCCGTAAGCACCATACCAGTAGCACCAATTAAGCATAAAATTATAGCAGCATAGTGATTCCATTTATAACGTTGATATAGGAAGAAGTAACTCAACAATACAACCGTTGGTATTGTAATACAATCTAATAGTTGCACACTAGTCACACTAGTATATGCATAAGCAGACACAATTGCCCAGTTGGCATGGACATCAATGACGCCAACAAGTGAATAGAGGCCAAGACGAGTTAGTAGCATATTTATTAGACGTCCTCTAGAACTAGGTATAATGACAGGTTCAATGTTTATGTTGTCAGTGGTACCATTGTAATCCTCTTCAAAATCTCCAGCATCACTGGGATTACTAGTACTATTAGTCGGTGTGTTACTGCAACGACTCGTATATATTTTATATAAAAGATAGGGAAGTCCATAGAAAGTGGCTAATAAAAAGTAGTGTGGAATATTTATAGCAAGTGGTAGGTTTATTTTATGACGATAAAGTATGCCATTACATATTGCTGTTAGACTGATAAGCACAGCAAGAATCTGTCCCAATATTATTGGGATGCATATCGCTACAATTCGGTTCTGAGAAATGCGTTGAAACTTTTTCAGTGGGTTTACACTCTCTTTACTCATTTTCAGTTTCACCACAATTTATGCATCACAACCATTTCGGTTTCATTCCACCAGTGATGAATTGCTCAGTTGCAAAAAACCTGAAAATAGAAAAATGATAGTGACGATAAAAAATTAACATGACACATCTATTGAATGTCACTTACAGCAATAAAGTACGCCGATGACGAGTCCAATCACAGAATGTCTTAGGGTTGATTAATATCTTAACGTGCTCGAATTTGTAATGTGGTAGCTAGGTAATTGCAACCGAATTCAGTGAATATCAGACAGTTTAAATCTTTTACAAGTTAGATGCCACACTGACAATATTTTGGGAACCACGGAAAAAAATCACAGAGCACTGAACATATGTTTGGTTCTAGTCCGGGACTCTTCAGCCCTACTTAAGCACTAACCCAACAGAGATCAGATCCAGGACCTTCAGCTTATTAGGTGAATCCTTTGACAAGACAACTGTCGAGTAACTCGTGGTTTTAATGACTCTCTAACTTCCTCATCTAAACTGAAATCCCTAAAACGCCAGCACTTGAAAATTCAAAGCGTTTGTCTGAAAAATCCTTTCGAAGAAAGTACATTACTCCACAAATTACCATGAATTATCACAGTTTTTGACTGAAAATTTACAAACCATGTTAAATTTAGTGTTACGGTATGAAGCAAACTTAACGTCTGACAGTCAACTATAGTAACCGTTGATTCTGACAATGGAGGATCAAGCAGAATAAATGCTTTTGAATCATTAGCTATAGTTTGAAAACAAGGGGTTACATTTCCAATAAGATGTTTAGTGGTCATTGCGTAGCCGTACTTTGTTAGTACGAATATAGACCGACCGATAGCTGCTACTTTGACGTGGTGGTCGGCCTTGCACACCACAATCACCCAACAAGCTATACTGACTGGAACTATTGTTCCTGCAGGTCCTACCATGACAGGAAGCGGTTAGACTAAAAGCAGTTACCGACATTATGTAAGAATCTTTCCTACACTATACTGGGGGTCTGAGGGCGAAGTCGTACTGCTGGGTAACAGGGGTGTAACAGTAGTAAGGTGTTTCCCTCAGATGACCAGCATGCCAGCTATGCTGTCTCTCCATTCCGTAAAGAGGGGGTTAGAAAACGTCGACCCGAAAATTGAACATCCCGACTTACCCTACGGTGGTCCGTAACCGGTGGTAAGTTTACTAATACAGAACCAATCCCAGAAACCAGTTCATACAGGCAGCGTGTGACAGGCCTCAAGCAACTGTCCCCTGGGCTCTGCGGTCACGCAATACTAACACTCATTCTGCTTCACGTACTCGGCGAACCAGTGAAATTCCATAGTGTGGGCAGCCGGGAAGTAACAACCACTCACACACTTCCAAGAGCACACGAAGCCTCCACGAGCATCATTCTCCTTTACCCACATCATCTTACTCTCCTACCACAGTTAGTACTATTCTTGAAGCCAGTGAGTCATCTTCACTTAACTCTGCGACCACAAACAACGATGAGAGCCATAGAAACACCCCAGATAGCCTTTTAAAGCCACGTCGCCAACTTCATATAGGAGCTTTTAACGTCAGGACCCTCTGCCAAATCGGACAACAGGCATCACTAGCAAGAACTCTGGCATCTCAAGCCATGGATGTATGTTGTGTTTCGGAGACACGCATACAAGACCCGAGTGTGGTCATTCACTTGACCTCACCCGGTCAACAAGGTAAATCTGCAAAATTCTCTTTAAAGGTGTCGGGAGACCCCTCAGCTAGTTCGCGAGGACTCGCGGGTGTAAGGATAGCACTGAGTGTTAGGGCGGAAAAATCACTCCTTGACTGCATCCCAGTAGATAGTCGTATGTGTGCGGTCCGTCTGAACGGGTCCGTTAAAAGAAGGAAAGACGGCGCTACCCGTCGTTGCCTTTTCATAGTCTCCACTTACGCCCCAACAGACTGCAGTTCGGATGAACTAAAAGATGAGTTCTACCTGAAACTGTCTAATTTGCTGCAAAAAGCAAAACGTTCAGACATAGTTGTTTTAGCAGGCGACTTCAATGCCCAAGTAGGGAAGTTGTGCCAGACTGAAAAGTATGTAGGTGATACGTATGGAGTTCCCTGCCGACGAACCGACAACGGTGATCGTCTTCTCCAGTTCTGCTCAGATAATCATATGTTACTAGTCAGCACTAACTTTAGGCACAAAGAGAGGCATTGTGTAACCTGGCGACCTCCATCACCAAATCAACCCTGGACTCAGATAGACCATATAGCCATAGGGTATCGTTGGCGAGGGTCAGTAGAAGACTGTCGCTCCTTCTGGAACACGTGCGTAGACTCTGATCACTCTCTGGTTCGCGCACGTTTATGCTTACGACTAAATGGACATAAGAAATTGACGGCAACGAAACAGTTACGTCCCCAACTAGATCGAGACACTGAGTCCTTATTTAAGGAAGAAATAGCGAAACGAGTTTCTGAGGTCGACAGCAGGACTTCCCCCGAGGTAGCCTGGCACAACATACAGTTAGCTGTAGACACAGCTGTGAAAGCTGTTAATAAGCTAAAACCTAAAGTTAGGAAAAGCCATTGGATCTCTACCGCCTCATCCGAACCGATTGACGCAAGAAGACTGATTCCAGAGAGCTCCAATTATGATGAGGAGCGAAAGGTACTTAAACGAAAACTAACAAAAAGTCTTCGCAAGGACCGTGAACAGTGGTGGGCGACAAAAGCGAAAGAGATGGAAAAGGCATCGGCGATTGGCAACACCAGACAACTATTTAGGCTTATCAGGGAAACAGGTGGCAAAAGGCAAATGATAAGTGAAACAATCTCGGAGAAAAATGGCTCCATAATTAGCTCCCAGGATAGACGACTGGAACGCTGGAAAGAACACTATGAGGAGCAGTTTAGTTGGCCTACAGCCACACTTAACCTGCCGAACATCCAGCACCTCCCTGAATGGGATATAGACACAGGTCCTCCTTCCTTAACTGAGGTTACTAAAGCTGTCGCTAATCTGAAGCAAGGCAAAGCAGGCAGACCTGATGGATTGACTCGAGAGGTATTTAAGTACGGTGGAGACAGTTTGCTGTCTGCGTTAACGGAGGTTCTAGGCAGCGTCTGGGAATCAGAGGAAGTCCCATCGGGTTGGTGTATGTCACTGATCATCCCGATATACAAGAAGGGAGACAAGTCTTCTTGTGATAATCACAGAGGGATTAGCTTGACTAATATAGTATCTAAAGTCCTAGGCTCAATAATACTGCGTAGACTAAGTGGTGCTCGGGAGGCACAAACACGAGAAAACCAGGCAGGTTTTAGGCTAGGGTGAGGGTGTATTGATCATATCTTCACCCTTCGGCAGATTCTAGAACATAGGCATTCCTACCGGCGTCCAACAATCATTATATTTCTTGACCTAAAGGCGGCATTCCATTCTGTCGACCGAGAGCTTCTCTGGAGATGCTTGACTGTAAAGGGAATGCCGAGAAAATACATTGCACTGATTAAGCCACTCTACTCGTACTCATGCAGCCAGGTGAGGACTTATGGCGAGTTGTCACCTGAAGTGGTGACGACTTGTGGCGTCCGTCAAGGATGCCCATTATCCCCATTCCTATTCAACTTCATCATAGGCGTATTAATGAACCCTAACACACTTCAGCGACTCAAGGATTGACTTGCTGCCAGGGAATAATCTCGTCGACTTAGAATATGCAGACGATATAGTCCTTCTAGGTGAGGACGCTGACAAAATGCAGAGTCTTCTTAACACCTTCAGCTGCAATCTAAGAATGTTTGGCATGCGATTCGCCCCTGTAAAATGTAAGATGATGTTGCAGGATTGGAATTCAACGACCCCTAGATTAGAAATAGGAAGTGAAGTGGTAGAGCACGTTGACCACTTCAATTATTTGGGAAGTACCATCAGCCCCAACGGGTTGATCTCTGACGAAATCTCAGTACGAATACAGAGGGCTAATTTCACATATGCCAGTTTACGCCGTCTCTGGCCTATACGTGATATCCGACTATCGACCAAAGGGCGGGTGTACTGCTCAACAGTCCGCTCCGTCCTCCTTTATGGCTGTGAGACCTGGCCATTGAGAGCGGAAGACATGAAAAGATTACCTGTCTTCGATCATAGGTGCCTGAGTTCTATCTCCCGTGGGAAGTGGTATAATAAGGTGAGCAATACTGAGGTTAGGCGTCGAGTGTTAGGTAAGGAGGGGAAATCAGTCGACGGGACTGTGAAATTATATCGACTGAGATGGTTAGGACATGTGTTACGCATGCCTAGCATAGCCATCGCCTTCCTCGATGGGCAATGTTAGCTGATACAGGGCCAGGCTGGAAAAGAGCTAGCTGCAGTCAAACGAAAACATGGCGCCAGTCAATAAAATCTACAACAGTTAGTCTAAGCCACGTAGGTAGGTGTAGACTTCCCGGTTGGGGTCCTCAGGACGGTAAAAGCAAATGGTTGGAAACAATTGGTGATATGGCTCAAAATCGTTCTCAATCACAGCTCAGATGCATCCACTCCTTGTGGCTTATGATATCCAATAAAACTATATTTTTCTTCGATATTACTATTCTTTTTGCCTTTTATCTCTGTTTACTGTCTCTATTTTGCACTCCTTTTTACTTTCTTCTCTTACTTTGTGTGCTGAGTGAAGTGTGGCGACTGGAAGAGCTGCACATCTGTGTAAAGTTCTATGTTGAAACCAAACAGAGAGATAGGCGAGCTTGTAAGGCTTGCAGGCCAAACATCAGATAACTTTTCACAGTGCCAAGCTATTGCAGCTTTTCACCTCCTAGAAGTCTTCACTAACCATTACTAAAAACATAAAAACCTGATATAAGTAAAATTATAGTATTATATAAGCGATTCAGAGTATTGCCTTGTTAACATGCTGTTTGCAATCTTGATATGACTCAACCTACACCTTTTGGATTGCCGTAGCAATAAATCTCCGCAGATAAACCTCTTCGAAATGGATGCTTATATAAAAAGACAATCATTCACTTCTGCAAATTAAGACCACCCTCAAATTTATACGAACAATATTTTCCTTGAGAAAGTTACTCTAAACATGTTTGAACCTCTATATTTCGCCTACTAATTCTTAAAATGCCTACTGGCAGTATTGTGTTATCTAAAGAAACATTCTTTATTATATGACGAGTAAGTTTAAAACAAGTAGACTATTAATTGTGATAAGTGTTTTTTTAGTCAACCTACTTTACTTGAGGAAGTATTTGATGCACTGTTATTGCCTCCTAGAAAATGAATTAAGGCACATCCAAAATGAGTTATTCTAGTAGAACAGAGAGGAACCAACAACTGTAGAAAGAAGCAATTGTTCCTGAAACTTCAATAAGATGGGGACGTGGCTAGTGAAGTCGCACATTTAAGACCATATGGAGCCATAAAACAGACTCATACTACTGCCACCCTTTGGTTGTAATTTTTCAGCTGACCAATTATGATTGCTCAAGCGAAAGCTACTTATTTGTGCTACTTCCATTCTCACTTATAGGTTTATCTGCTCCTGTAGAGAAAGATTTATAGGGCGAACAACTAGACAGCTCGACAAATGCATCACTGAGTATCTTCCTTCACGGTTCAAAAAGGGCCGAATAAAATCCAGAATGTATATTTTGCCTCATTTTATTGATAGCAGACACTAAGTGGACAGAAGTGCCTTCAAGGTTATCTAACGTATTCTACTGAACCTTCGGAACGGAATTCGAAGAGCCTTCTAACACGAAGCCGAAACTACGGGAATCCGAGAGGACAATCCCAGTCATTGTACACAAAGGAAGTCTTTTTTACCTCTATCTCTCCCTCGGCATAGATAGATTCTGGTTAAAACTTTCCACTATTTCTTATTCTTTGTTCCTTCCACGCTCTTATGATATTTATTGAAAAAAAACTTTGACCATCTGTACACTTCATCTTTGGTATTACTTAACTTTACGGGTTTGATCTAAGTTATTTTTGAATGTTTTACACAAACATATTACCTTCGTTATTCTCACAGCCACCTGCATAAACTTCTTGTACTTATGTTATCAATGACAGCATTATTTTTTATTTTCGCTACGACCATAATCATCGTTAATACTGACGTCCCAAACACTTAACATATTGTTTCAGATCCACAAACTTACTGCCGCTGGCTAAATTTTTTGTATATGAAACTACGTACATTGGAGTAAGGCGTGAAGATCTAATTGAAAACAGTATTGTTCGTTTGTATGTCTTATTTTGATTTTAAAAATAGGGATATTTAATGCATCATTTTAATCTTAACTTTGCTTGTATAAGCATATGTCATCCCTGATACGTTCCAGTGGTTGGAATTGCACAGGATTAATATAACGATGAAGAATACAAAAAAAAACGGTTAATATTCGAACTTGTCATAGCAAATGAATAATTTTGGTTCAATTATAGGTATTATCAGTTTAGTTATTTACATTTCAAGGAAATTCGCTAGTATGACATGATTAATACAACATGTTTTTAAAGACAGAGGAAGTAGGTGAGGGAATTTCTCACCCTTGAGAAGCACCTTCAGGTCTATATCTCAAATTCTCCCTACGTACTGAGATGCAAAGAGAGAGTGAATACTGCTTCAATTACACCTAGAAGACACAGGCATATATAAGGGAGATAAATTTAGTAGTTCTGATGATGCTCTACAATGTTATCATATTTAGTTTTTTACAGTCACAAACAGTTCTAAAACACTTTAACTTAAGCTAGACTACAGATTTATGAACTATTTAAACAGCTTTAGATCGACAGGAAGCGTTTCAAGTGACTTTCGTCAATTAAAAAATAATATACCAGTTCCCTACCGTAAACCAGTGTAATGCGACTTAAATCTAGTCATTATACAGTTAAATAACATTCACTCTAATATTAACCACTTTAAAGACAACGCTTATAACCCCTTTACTACTATGACTATGATTATTATCAGTTCAGTAGTCATGCAAGAATCTGTAGGGGCAAAAACGGTTCTAACTTACATGAAAATATACGAGTTCTCAGAGATTTATATCAACAACCACATAAATTAAAATACAGTATGCAAAATTCCTTGGAGAAAAAATTAAATCAGTAGATATTCTTCATAAAACTTATAGATCGGTTACTATTGTTAAATATTTATGATATTTAGAGACTCACGCCGCTACAAAGTGGAAAGTGATGCAAAATTTGTACTTCTTTCAAGGTTGTCAATAGATTATAAGACTGACCTTTTCAACGGTACAATGGTTTGCAGATTTCAGATTTATTGGTTGAAGATAGAAGGCTTGGAGCCTATGTTAATCCTTTTCTAGTAAATTTCTGTGGTTGTCCAAACCATTCTTGAACGAATCAGCTGAGGTTGCAGACACCACTTCTTCAGGGAATCGGTTCCAAGAGTTTATGACTCGGTGTGAGAACCACTACTCAACAGCAATATGGTTACTTCATGGCTTTTGAACTCTCCTGCTATGTCCTCTAAAGTGTTCCATATTGCTGTTGAGTAGTGGTTCTCACACCGAGTCATAAACTCTTGGAACCGATTCCCTGAAGAAGTGGTGTCTGCAACCTCAGCTGATTCGTTCAAGAATGGTTTGGACAACCACAGAAATTTACTAGAAAAGGATTAACATAGGCTCCAAGCCTTCTATCTTCAACCAATAAATCTAAATCTGAATGTTTTCTTCCAACGGACAATTTCACAACTCCCCTTTTCTCCGCTAACACCTATCAATAATCAGCAGCAAAGTTAAAGTCAGCTCAACAAGACTTGCAGTTCATTAAGATGACACTGCCTACTTTACAACGAATCAGAAACCAGGAGTTAAGCTGAAACTTCTATACGTAGGACTGTGGATTCCATGTTGTATGTAGTCATCCATTTTATGTCATCTAACCAATATAGAAAATTTGTCAGATACACGATGCAACCAGACAGTTAGTTTCTGTAGTAGACAGTGTTACCTGCTTCGGTCTGGGCTCCCGGTCAGTATCTCATCCCTCACACAACAAATGAAATAAAACAACAAACTATTATTGAAACTCACCGCGCGCTCGTAAAAATGATTTCAAGTAATAGTGATACCTCAAGCAACTTATGTCCTTCCAACCTTACTTTGTTCTTAGATTCCTTTAATTAACCTTTGCTAACTCCGACTTCTAAACCTTCGAAAGCCTTTCGTCTTTGTTTGGATTCCTAGCCTATCTGTGTCGTTTCGAGATGTTGGTGAGTAACCCTCAAATTGGCTGTCCCCAATGTGCCATCTAACACAGGTATCCGCGGTCAAGCTGGCCACTTACAATGTTCGGACGCTGATGCAAATCGGACAACAGGCAGGGTTGGTAAGAATATTGGAAAGCCTCGCTATCAATGTCTGCTCCATTTCGGAGACTCGCATTCAAGATCCCAGTGAAGTGCTTCGATTATTCTCTCCCTCTGGAGGTTCTAGTAGTATGTACCACCTGCGCTTGTCCGGGGAACCTGTGTCGTCGGCATCCGGCGTAGCTGGTGTCGGTGTCGCACTGAGCGCCAGAGCCGAAGCTGCATTGCTCGGCTGGATTCCCATTAACAGTCATTTATGTGCTGTGAGGCTGGAAAGTTATACGAAAGTAAGGAGTAATAGGCCAGATAGGCGATGTCTACTTGTTGTCTCTGCCTATGCACCGACGGATTGCGGCCCGAATGCAATGAAGGATGAGTTCTACCACCAACTTAGCGATCTCTTGAGACAGGCGGGTCGGAGGGGTATCGTGGTGCTGGCTAGGGACTTGAATACACAGATCGGGCGTCTGAGCTCAGAGGAGAATCGTCTAGGTGGTCAATGGGGCCTATATGTTCGCAGGTCAGATAATGGAGACCGTCTTCTACAGCTTTGCGCGGATCACAACCTATTTCTAGCCAGCACCAACTTCCGGTACAACCATCGCCGTAGCCCTACCTGGCGTCCTCCCTTTGTGAATCAAGCTTGGACTCAGATTGATCATATTGCTGTCAGTTTCCGGTGGCGAGGATGCATACAAGACTGTCGCTCATACTGGAGCACATGCCTGGACTTCGATCATGCGTTAGTGTGTGCCAAGTTCGTTTTGCGATTAGGTGGTTTTCACAAACGTTGATGTGAGCAAACTAGTAGCACCTGCTACTTCTTTGAAATACCACAATGAGTTAGACTCAATGCTTGCCAGCAACCCCCCAAGTAGTATAGATGAACATTGGCTTCATCTGCAAGGTGCCATGCAAAGAGCGAGTGTAGCCGCTTGCGGCTTGAAGGAATCCTGCACTAAAAACCACTGGGTTTCTGCGAGTTCCTTGCAACTCATGGATGGACGCCGGTCGATTCCGGCTGGCAGCGAATACAACAATAATCGAGAGGCGCTGACGTGCAAGATAAGACAGTGTTTACGTAAGGACCGCAAATCCTGGTGATCAGAACGTGCGTGTGAGATGGAGTCAGCTGCTGGATCTGGCAACAGTCGGAAGCTGTTCCAACTCATCCGAGCCACCGGCAGCAAGAAACAAGGTGTCAGCAAGACGGTCTCTGAGGCAGATGGTATGCCAATTACCAGCTTGAGAAGACGCCTGGATTGCTGGGCAGAGCACTTCGGGAAACAGTTTAGCTGGCCACCAGCTTCAATGTCTGTTGTCATTAGTTCCAGTGCTCCTTGGTCGGTGACTACCGACCCACCCACCGAAGCGGAGGTCCGTAAGGAACTCCAAGTGTTAAAACGCCAAAAGGCGCCTGGCCCAGACAATTTACGCCCGGCTCTTTTTAAAGATGGTGGCGAGACTGTCTTAATGGCTCTAACTGGATTATTCAGGAAGGTAGGGGAGCCTGAGAGTGTACCATCAATGTGGAACGAAGCCATTATCGTCCCCATCTTTAAAAAGTGTCGACGTAATTCGTGTGACAATCATAGGGGTACCAGTCTGCTACCAGTCGCGTCTAAATTATTGGCTGCTGTCATGCTTCGCCGGCTGTGCAAAATACGTAAGGGATTGATTCGCGAAGAGCAGGCTGGGTTTCGTTCAGCTAGTGGATGCATTGATCATGTGTTCACCCTTCGTCAGTTGTTGGAACACCGCCACACGTATTGCAGGCCAACGATCGTTGTGTTTCTTGATATTAGGGCTGCCTTCGATTCGTTGGACAGAACTGTGCTCTGGAACTGTCTGTTAGAGAGAGGTGTACCTGAGAAATTTGTTAACATCTTGAAAACCCTATACAGAAACACCTCAGGTAGAGTGAGGGCATACAACCAACTATCACCACTGTTCCCAACCAACAGTGGGGTTAGACAGGGTTGCCCAATCTCGCCATTTCTCTTTAACTTTGTCATCGACGACATTCTGGAGTCAGCTCTGAAGGAGGTGCGTGAAGATGGTGTAGATCTGCTACCTGGAGATAGACTTTTCGACCTCGAGTATGCAGACAATATCGTCTTACTGTGCGATAGCATGCAGGCTGCCCAAATCGCACTTAATCAGTTGGCGATCAGTGTTTGTAAGTATGGCATGTACTTTGCACCGTCTAAGTGCAAAGTACTGTTACAAGATTGGTAGGAGCCTGTACCTGCACTCACTCTTGCGGGTGAACCGCTTGAAGTTGTTGATAAGTTTGTATATCTGGGTAGTTGTGTGAGTGCTGGCGGAGGGCTAACGGATGAGATTTCCAATCGTATAATGAAGGCTAGGGTGGCATACATCAACTTGAGCCACCTCTGGCGCCGTCGCGACGTTAGCCCGGCTGTCAAAGGTCGGGTATACAGTTCTTCGATGTGGGCTGTCTTGCTCTACGCCTGTGAAGCCTGGCCTCTCCGAGCTGAGGATGTGAGGCGACTCTGCGTGTTCGATCACCGCTGTCTCCGCAGGATTGCTTGCGTTCGATGACATCGTCGTGTGAGTAATTCTGAGGTTCGACAGCGTTTGTTTGAACACAGTGGAGATCACCATTCATTGAGTGTTGTTATCTGGGAATACGGGTTCGGGTGGCTTGGACATGTGCTGCAAATGTCATCCCAGAGGCTTCCGTACAGGTCTCTGTTCGCCAGCCCTGGGACGGGATGGAAAAGGCGGAAGGGTGGTCAGTCCATGACGTGGTGTCGTGGGATAAGGGATTTTTGTGCAAGATTAGCATCGATTGGTGCGTCATGACTCCCTGGTTTGGGTCCGCGAGATAGCTCGTATCGATGGCTCGAAACGTTATCGGATATGGCCAAAACTCGTAGGAAGGAAGGAAGGAGGACCTGTGTCTATATCCCATTCAGGGAGGTGCTGGATGTTCGGCAGATTAAGTGTGGCTGTAGGCCAACTAAACTGCTCCTCATAGTGTTCTTTCCAGCGTTCCAGTCGTCTATCCTGGGAGCTAATTATGGAGCCATTTTTCTCCGAGATTGTTTCACTTATCATTTGCCTTTTGCCACCTGTTTCCCTGATAAGCCTAAATAGTTGTCTGGTGTTGCCAATCGCCGATGCCTTTTCCATCTCTTTCGCTTTTGTCGCCCACCACTGTTCACGGTCCTTGCGAAGACTTTTTGTTAGTTTTCGTTTAAGTACCTTTCGCTCCTCATCATAATTGGAGCTCTCTGGAATCAGTCTTCTTGCGTCAATCGGTTCGGATGAGGCGGTAGAGATCCAATGGCTTTTCCTAACTTTAGGTTTTAGCTTATTAACAGCTTTCACAGCTGTGTCTACTGCTAACTGTATGTTGTGCCAGGCTACCTCGGGGGAAGTCCTGCTGTCGACCTCAGAAACTCGTTTCGCTATTTCTTCCTTAAATAAGGACTCAGTGTTTCGATCTAGTTGGGGACGTAACTGTTTCGTTGCCGTCAATTTCTTATGTCGATTTAGTCGTAAGCATAAACGTGCGCGAACCAGAGAGTGATCAGAGTCTAGTGGAAATGTCGCAGAGAATAGTGTCTTTTCCCATACATAAGTGTTTCTCGGCTAGTTGTAGAGTTATTTTCGACAAGTCAGTAGCCTCTTTTTGAAGACGAGCGAGTTCCACAAGGTCTATACCATCTATTTGGGTGAGGGAACAAACGCGCGACAAGGCATCTGCCACAGTGCTCTTCACTCCGGATACATGGCGAATAACCGATGTAAACTGTGAAACGTAATCCAGTTGTCGTGATTCCCTGGGTGAATACTTATCTGAAGTTGAGTTCAGAGAGTACGTCAGAGGCTTGTGGTCAGTGAAAATGATGAATTCACGAC